ACGTGTCCATTTCCATGTTGTGAGAATTTAGGGGTGCGGGGGGCTCGAGGCTGATTTGGCCCCTACCAATGCTGAAACCAAACCTACGGCCTGCTGTACTGCAAAGGAAAATCGGCCCATATCATCATCAGCTCACTGTGTCCCATCGATCTGTTCACTGTAATGAAGCCCAGGCATTTTCCTCCACTTGCTCTCTGATTGTGCTGTGGTTTGGATAATCTACATACAATCATTAACATGGTCATGGGCCTGTTTTTTTGTCGTTTAACCATCATACCATATAATAAATAAATAAAATATCTGATGCCCTCAAAAATCATTTTAAAAAATCAAGGAGGTTGCTGGGGTGGGTGATCCCGGCCTGCCCTCTTTGGCGACCCCTGCACCCCCCAACACCCATGAGAAAACAAAAGAACGACAATGATGAAGCAGGCGGACCACTATGAAGCAAACGCAGCTATGTGAGGATGCAGCACAGGAAACCGACTGTGTAGAGAAACACCCAGCCTGGGGCTCCAGTCATTACACAGTCAAGTGGGAGCAGGCAGAAAGTCAATATGGGAATACAGGGGAAAGAAATCAATAACAGCAGACGTTTCATGGGAGACGGTGCCTTAACATGCTCTTATGAGGGGGATGTCTACCGCTGGCTCGGACCCCACTGGTCAATGCTCAGCAGCCGTTTATTTCATACATTTTACCACTGTAGTTCTAATGTGCTGGACAAACTATAGCTATTTGATAATGGAATCTTTATACCGTTTGGGCATTTTTAATCATTGTAAATATCACAAAACAGCGTTCTTCAAAATGGATTTTATGTTTATCGTTTCTAGTTACTCAGTTACTTCTGTGGTTACAACGTGAGTAATATTACCGTAAAATGTCAGATATAGATAATGAACATGTTACAAAAATCTACTAAAACCGTTTTGTAAACCACCGCAAAGACTACTATTTGTTCTGGAGCCACCACATCGGTTATCTGTTAACTCCTTACCTCTTTTGGTTTTAATGATTGTTTTTCTCGGTACAGCGACACCACTCCCCTACTGAGGTAACTTAAAACCGTCAATTAGGCTGTAATTTTTCTCCATCGAAAAGCTGCGTTTGATGACAGCAGATTCACTGGCTTATGAAGGAATGGTGGCTGTGCAATTGCCTTGTTTCGGTGATTAATCGCAAAGCACAGTGTCGGTATTTTAAATTAAATTTCACACAACAAGCAAATTGCGCTTAAAATCATTATGCTCTCTGCCGTCCGGTGCGGGGTTAGGGTGTGCAGGGACAGACTTGATGGAAGCCCTGCATGACTGACATGCTCGTTTGCTTACAGGCCCGTACATAAATGTCCGAGTCCGTAGGCGACGCATCACAAATCAGCGCCTGTGAAATTTCCAGTGTCGGAAATGTACCTCTGGATAATATGTACGCTACCTAATTAAAATGCTTTTTAAAATTAAGGAAACTAACTGCCAAACAAGTGCTTAATGTCATACGAAGACCCTACTTTTGAAATAGTTAAAGAACCTCAAGATGGTTTGGGTTTATTACTATTAAATATACCTGTATCTGAACATCTCCACGTGTATGCAATACGCAGCGAGGTGACCGGCAAGGGTCCGGACGGGATCCGGGATCGTAACCCTATAGGCATTCGTCTATGATGGACTGGTCCTTTATTAAGGCCTATATAATCTGTAGCCTTCTCCTTTGATTGTCACATTTTAATTCATGAAGTACACAAGTACGCTGATACATACACTATGTTAAACAAAACAATCATTTAACCCAGGCCACTTCTGCAGTAAGGGGTTTTTCTTTAACAGAAAGTCCATTGCTGAAATAAATTAGTTTTCTTTAAAAAATTAGGTTACACGTGTTTGTGCTTGTTATTTGAATTTATCTTAGCGTCGCTTGGTTCTTAGAGCTCATTAAATCTTATACAATAGATTGATCAATAAAGAGTGTTTTTACATCGTGATTTATATTCAGTTAGATAGATTGAAATGTTTGCACTAGGTTCAGGATCAATATGACGATGTTGAAGAAAATGTAAGAAATTTACCAAACTGAGCTATTCCCAAGACTGAACCTAAATTAAACAACCCTTTTTAATTACAGTAACCTAATTAACCAACGAATAACGTTACACTGTAATTACCGCTTGATTAAATAAATAATGTGTGTTGATAAACACATTGGATGGACAGATATACAGCCTATCAGTGGATCGGTGCCTTACTTTTGGTCCCCTCCCCATACGGGCTCGTTTATTTATCGGTACCGCGGTTCAGGGCGACCCCACCATGGACAGCCTCACACCTGCATGCGGCGAGCCGAGCCTCGGCAGAAACCCACCTCCAACCTGCAGAGACTGGAGCTCTTGGACCTGGACTTCTTCTGCAGATAGACGGAGAAGAAGCGGCGCACAGTGAATTTGCGCATGTTTGCGTCCATCTCGGTGCCCCGGCACGGTGCCGGACCTCTGCTCTTCTTCCCAGATAATCCACAAAACAGCAGAACAATGGGGACTGACTGTCGCTTCCTCGGTACCTTCCGCTATGCCATGACGACGCGAGATGCAGATTTTCAGGTGGTTTTAATTTAGATTTTTTAATCGCGGATCGTGATTTGAAACGAAGGGGCCATTTAAACGTCTGCCGCCGCCGGCGGGCAGTCTGTCCCCGTCTCTTATTCAGCTGCAGTGCGATTGCTTCTCCTCCGCTTCACAACGTTTATGAGTGTCCTCCCCGCCCGAGCAGACGGAGCTCTGACTCTAAGCACCGGCGGCCCGTGGGGAGGCGAGGACGATGGAAAGCTCCCACCCCCGGCTCCAGTCCACACGCGTTAATATTTCCCCCCCCCCATCTGAACGCCAGCCCGCCTCCCCGCACCTGGGAATGGTTGACGCTACACAGTGTCCTGCCAGAAGGGCCATCAAAGCAAGATATGGGCTGGGTGGGACTCTGGGCAATAGCTTTGTGTATTATGTGCTCCTGATATAGGTATATATTCCTCCTACTGGATTGCCTTTTTATACCAGCATATTAACTCATGGTGTCTCAAAGCGCAACAATTTACACACACAGGTCTCTACAGTAAAACTACCCATCCAGGTCCTGCTTATTTAAAATTCATACCAAGGACTTCCTTGATTTAATGCCGTGATATTTGCTATATTAGTATCGTATAAGTAGTGAATCCCTGAAGACAAATCCAAAAGTTTTAACTTGCAAACCGTGTAGATTGCTTAAACCTTTGATCCCATAAATATTTGCCATTTTCTCCCAGGTGAACTGTAGGTGTGGGGTGTGAATTAGCAGCTGGGAGGAGCAGCCCTGTCACATCCTTTGCAAAAAAATTGTTGGCTTGGGAACAATTTCCTGCAGTGAAAGTGTTCTTCAAAATTGGATAAGGACATAAAACCCCTTTGATTTATTAGTTGCGGTGGAAAACATTTCTAAAAGAATAACTGGTTATATCTAGTGACTAGGTTATAAATGCTTGTGTGTAACACTGGAGGCTGTACTGGAAGTACTGGTCCTGCCACTCGTGTAACACGGCACCTGTTCTGGGGCTCATGGCACGGGGGCTCACTGGCACGCTGCTGTGATTAGTCACCCTGATGGCACCACATTGATGGGCAGGCTTTCATCGGCATAACACGAGACTTTTACTTAAATTAAAGTTGATAACATGCTAAACAGAGGTCCGTCCTGTTATCAAATGGGACAGATGAGGTGAAGCGGCCTCCGATTGGGGTCTCACACACACACAGCAGACATATCCACACAAGACGTCACATGTGTTTGAGGGCTTCACTTTAACATCTCGTGCCAAAACTTTTTGTTATGGACTCGGGGCGTGGTGTATGCGGGAAAAAAAAGGTGACAATCCATTTACGGCTCCAAGAGGCAACAGGGGTTTAATAAACAAAAACAGAACACAGAGAGAAATCACAAAATAAAAGGGACCACGAGGCATCCGAACCATAGCTGTCAAGTTTTGGATTTGAAAATAAGGGAAATGTTCCGGCACCCACCGCGAGCCACCCCACCACCCCAACCAAGCTCCAGTATCCCTTACATTCTAAGACAGGTGTACAAGAAATTTAAAATAACCACTTGTCATTTACATTTTATTTTCATTAACCATTTTCTTTTAATTTCTCATGTTCACTCATGTGGCTCTGTGGCATTCACTAATGGCTTATTATACAGATTTGTTGCAGACTTTGTATCCTTGTTGAAGTCGTCACCGAAGGTGAAAGTAACGTTGTTTTTGGCACACAGTATTGCCATTTTAAACTCCGCATTTATGACCTGGTTAATGTTGTAAATGACCTGCAGACTACTGCAGGTGGCAGTTCTCGCGAGGCTACTGACAGTTCAGTTTGGAGGGGCAGAGGAATTTTTTAAAATGATATTATAATACGGGAGATTTACGGGAAAATACTAATACGGGAGGACGGCGGGAAAGAGGGGTAAAATACGGTAGTTTCCCGGCCAAAACGGGAGACTTGACAGCTATAATCCGAACCAAAGAGGGAAAAACACTACAAACAGAACTATGACAAAAACTGCAACGGAACCCAGGCAGAGCAGCACAGAGTAACATTAACAATAACTAACCAACAAAAAGAACAAAGGCAGGCACTTAAATACACTGATCACAGTGACTAACAAGGGGCAGGTGTGGCTACACAATACTAGGGGCAACAAGGAGCAGGTGAGGACAATCAAATCAAACTGATCATTAAGGGCACAGGGCAACAAGGCACTAGTGGGGTAGTACAATTAACAGGCAGCAAAGGTCAATTAACAGATAGGGAAAAAGGACCAAACACTAATGGAAACAAAACTAGGGCAACCGAATGAACAGGAAACAACGAGGAAGACAATGAACATTAATTAGCTGAGACTGGCCTCCAGTCAGCCTCGAACCCACAACCACAAAAGAGGAACCCTGGTGTGATGCACATCTCCATCCCTCTATCCAGGGGCGTTGCTAGAGATTTTGGGCCCCATGAAAGCATATCATATTAGGCCCCCCAGTCCAAACCAATCCAGCTATTTTCCTAATTTTTTAGGGCCCCTGTCACTCAGGGGCCCTTGGAATCGTCCTAGCTTTCCTCCCCCTTACGGCGCCCCTGCCTCTATCCCTGAGGCGATGCAATCGTGAATTGTGTCTGGTGCACACTTTTTCAAGTGTGAACTTTTATGCTGGTGCACCGATGTGAATGGGTGAATCCTACCATCACTAGTTTTTATAAATTAAGCAGATGACCTTTGACTCCATGTGAGTCTTTCCCCAAACTCTCAGCTCCCACAACGTAGAGCACTGTGCATCGCTAACGGCGAGCACTTTGCCCTGCCCCCGGGCCGTCACACTACCCCGCCTTTTTTTGGGATCTGAGCGTGAACAGACAGTACTGGCCATTTTGAAACATGCACCTTTGCAGAGATACATAACCCAATAACAGCGTGTATGCATCCAGTCCCCTGGCTTTATCAAGCGTATTTACGGCCTGCAGAGAGCAGAGGTACGTCTAGGGCAGTGTTTTCCTAACACGGTCCTCGGGGACACGCAGACAGTCTATGTTTATTCTCCCTGGAGCTGGGAGGGAGCAAAAATGTAGATGTTCAAGACCCATGCAAACCGCCTCATTGTCCCCATTACAGTCCAACCCGAAACCGTCTTTCTGCAATCCATAATGTGTGCTTTCCATAGTGTCTGCTTTTCTGCCTCTAACAGGCCATAGTGAGGCAAAGCAGGGGCTCGCCTAATACGAAGGGCCTGAGCTGTCTTTCGCTCAGGGCGATGGCCCCCTGCTTGATCAGAGATGGTCGAGGTTGTGCTTTAGTCAGTAATGAGGGCTGGTTCCCTGTTTGGGCTAGAAAGAGGCCTCATGCCCATTCTGTTTACTGCTTATTTATTAAAAATGCAGCTAAATTTTGGACTGATCATCTCTTTGTGACGTCTGACTCAGTTGCTATAGACATATTATTGACCATTATTCATGCTTATAAAATGCAGCACTCCAGCACTGCAGAATGGTATAGCCGATCAGCTGGACTGTTTTAATCAACCATATATGACCAGATGGGTGTTTTAATTGCATATTATCAGAGATATGATATTTTATAGATGTGGGGTTTATATCAGTATTCATGAAAGTGATTTTATTTAATTGTAAGGCTGTCAGGGATCCGGGCGGCTCGGGAACGGGGCATAGTGCAGGCACAAAAAGGGTGGACGACCCAGTAGCGGCTCCAGGAACATAAAAGGGGTTTATTAAATTAAACAGAAAACACTACAAACACAATGAAACCAAAATGACCATGAGGGGTCAAAAAACCAAAGGGAATAAACTAACACTACAAATCACAAATAAACAAACTGGGCAGGTAAACATACGACAGCTCTAACTTAGCTTAGACAAGCAACAACACACAGAAAACAATGAACCACTGGTGAACTAAACAGAAGCAGGAACTAAAATACTAAAGGGGTAACGAGACTAACACAGGACAGGTGAGACTAATTAACAAAGACCAGGGAAACAGGGCACAGGTGAAACTAATAACTCAAAGGAACTAAAAACAGGGAAACTAAGAACTAACCAAGGAAACATAAACCAACACTAGGGACTTAAACAGGTAAAGACACAAGCAGGAGCACAAGGAACAAAACCAAATACAAAATCAGACACAAGAACTAAAGAAACTCAAATGAAACACTAGGGAGCAAAATACAAAAACAGGAGGTGGGATTCAAACACAGGACAGAAGGGGTTCACAGACAACCACATGCTCAACACATTGAGCCACATGACCAGACAGGTAACAGGGAAGAACAAAGACTAACATAAAGAATGGGATGACCAGCAACACCTGCTGGTCAAACGGGGAAGGGACACGGTAGGACCACAGCAGGGGCTGACCCTGACAAAGGCTGGAGCCCAGTTTAGCCAACAGCCTTGGTTGATTAGAATGAGCAGTTTTAGTCAGGCTGGTTAGTCAGACTGGTTAGTCAGGTCGGTTAGTCATCCTCCAAGCTGACAGGCATCAGAGTGGTTTGTCCGGACTCCTTGTTTTATGAGAATATTGATCCCCATTCAGTCACATGCATAATGAGGCTCGTGAAAGTGTAACACGTTTCGGACAAAATGAGTCACCCTTTGAAAATCAATCTTTCACCCAGTTTCCTCTCAGGGTTAAAGTTCATTTCAGACACCTCTTTAATCGGCGAGTCTTCTCCAGAGGTGCTTTTGGATTTTGACGAGGAAAAGCACATTTTTCTTTATGTGCAGATTCCAGAATCTCCCTTCAAACATGTCCCTCTTCTGAGACAGCCGTTGCATGCTAATTGTAAATATCATTAATATAACAGACTATATTTTAATGGCATTCTTCTGTATTTGTTGTTTTTTTATTTCTTAGCAGATTCATTATTAGTATTTTGTTGGGTCCTGTTGTATGAACACATGTTCACTGATGTAACGTACATCATAACAGCAAAACTGAGAGACTGAATCATGGTGATAGAGGTCCTTTGACAAACTAGCAGGGAATACAGTGCCATTTTTGTTCACATAAGGAATTAATTTCTCACACAATACATCACAGCCAAGTTCTCAATGGCCGTTGATATGTGTAGAGCCTGACCAGGATGGGGAAATACTCATAAAAATTATATGCCCATTTTTAAGTGAATCCCTATTGTAAAATACCTTATAAATCTGGAACTGAACTGAAAAGTTAGATCTTTTTAGGACATCCAATAACTATATCCATGCCAACTTTTATTTACAGAAGACAGTGGGTATTAAAATATCCTCATTTGTTTAATGAAAACTTCTTTGTGAATGGTATATTAATCTTTTGTTATTCATGGACATAAACATAGATTATTTCCATCTCCTTGCTAGCCAACTGCTCAGCCTGTAATATTGTTTTTCCAAGACACAAAATAAGTTTCACATGTTAAATTAGTATCCAAAAAGGTAGGAGAGGGTCCTGTTAATCACTGACTGGATTGAGCCAATCTTAACTCATAAAGTAAAAAGATGAAAGTGGATTAATAAGTCATTCAGGTTGGTTTACATTGTCAGTGACTAACTGATATCCATTCTCCATTGGTTTCAAAGTTACATTTTACTTATTACTACATAAAACACAGAAAAAGGACTTAACATTATGAAAATGTTGCTACTTCCAAAGTACTACGCTATTCACTGAACTGAACCAACATTCTGATATGGAAAAGCCATCTTCAAACACAAAATACATAATATTCACCCTCAGGATGAACAGCATCCTGATGGTGTAACCTGTGTGGTGAACAGCATCCTGATGGTGTAACCTGTGTGGTGAACAGCATCCTGATGGTATAACCTGTGTGGTGAACACCATCCTGATAATATGACTTGTGCAGTGAACAGCATCTTAATGCCATAACCTGTACAGTGAACAGCATCCTGATGGCATAACCTGTACAGTGAACGGCACCCTGATGATGTAACCTGTGTGGTGAACAGCATCGTGATAATATGACCTGTGCAGTGAACAGCATCCTGATGGCATAACCTGTACAGTGAACAGCATCCTGATGGTATAACCTGTGTGGTGAACACCATCCTGATAATATGACCTGTGCAGTGAACAGCATCCTGATGGCATAATCTGTACGGTGAACGGCATCCTGATGGTGTAACCTGTGCAGTGAACGGCGTCCTGACGACGTGACCTGCAGTGTTAACACTGCCCTTGGTGGCAAATACTGAAGTAAGAGTTTGAGTCTTCTGCCAGAGACTGTGTTTACTAGTTAAATTTCTGTGAACGAGTAATGAGAGAGGAATATGACTGGGCATACAGGAGACTCATCAGTCATCGGTACAGAAGTAATCTGTGGCCTGCCTGTTTTCCTAATGAAATACTTGCTATTTGTTTTTAAGCTTAATGAGAAACCCTCACTGCTGATCCCATCCCCCCCACATACACAAGCACGCACAGCACGCACACACCAGTGACAGATTGCTAACAAAGGTCTCAGTTTGAGGAGTGATCTGCAGGCTGTTATATTAATGCCCTGACTTGCTCTAACCCAAACTTTGGAGTAGGTCATCCAAATAACTTTCTGTTCATGGATCGGCGTATTCATGTAATAATCCTTCAGAAAGTTTCAGAGAAGATAAATATGTTTGTGTGTGAAACACTAATCCTGGTGTTGTTCTTTAGATACTGTACCAGCCATTTATTGCTTTTTGGTTTTTCAAACATTTTTTTTTTGGAAGAGACATTTTTAGCTGTAAACCCCTGCTCACAGATTTTCTTTCTTCCTGTGACTCATCAGCTTTCTGGGGCCTCAAAAGGCATCCCTAACAAGCTTTAATAAAAACATTCACAGAAAGAAGAAGATCCCCCACTGAAGGCACCACAGTGCTGAGCAGACGCTTTTTCAGGAAATCCCAAGCCAGCTCGAGGCCCTTAATCTGCTCGTATCCACTTGTATTTTTGTAGCGACAGACAGCCCGGTGACAAGGCCAGAAGGGTGGGATTATGCTGTTAAAGACGGAAGCTTGAATCCATCTCATGGAAAATCTCCAGCAAGTGCGCTTATGTTGTTGATGCCATGCTGAGTGCGTTTGTCGGAAATGAGGATGTTAATTTTCAGTGTCTTTAATTGTCCATAAATCATTATCAAGTCTGTGTGTCTGCAAATGATAAGCTTCAAAAAAAAAAATATATATATCTGACATGGAGTGACATCTTTCACATCTGATTTATTCTGAAATGGCCATAATTTTTATATTTAAAAAAAAATACTTAGGTGAAATGGCAGACCAGGACCTCGCAGACACGGTCCCCTGCACAGCCACGCTGCCACTGACGCCGTCTGCGTGACTGACGCAGAGAGAAGCGCCGACCGCAGCTTCTGACAAGCGACCAGGACCTCGCAGACAGGGTCCCCTGCACAGCCACGCTGCCACTGACGCCGTCTGCGTGACTGAGGCAGAGAGAAGCGCTGACCGCAGCTTCTGACAAGCGACCAGGACCTTTCATATCAATCCACAGCCAGCTGACTCAGTTCCCAAGCCGTCATGCTATTCTGCTGTATACAAGAGCAGAAATCCATCTATGGTGACATTTAAGGCCTGAGCCTTGAATGCTGGGCCTGTTAGTGAAACCACTTCCTCATTTGCAAAGATCAGTGGTATTTTATCTGCAATGTCCAGAAACATGGTGAAAATCGGAGCGCCTTCCTCTTTGGTCGGTAAGAGAGCAGCATGGCAGGATGCCCTGCGGTTATGGCGGCCTAGATAGCAGTGGGGCCTCTGTGACGCCTCCTGACACAAGCTTGCCGCACCGGAAAAGTGCTGACTGGCGAGAATTAAGTTACCGGAAAGGGGCCAATATCATGTTGCGTTCTTGCTGCCAGCTGGGAATTTAAACGACGGCCGGGTGGTGTGAAGTCTGTGCCTTACGGAGAAGGCCGCCGTGATGACGAGGGAATGTCAGGACCAACAATGGACCATCCTACACCCAACACAGCGAGACATACTTCACAGCAAGGAATCTGCTACATTTGTTATTGTCTTTTTTAAAACCTTTATTCATGTTTTAGAATGTTCTAACACTCCCCTGAATCTCTGAGGTGAGATGAAGCCTCGCAGAGTCTTGTTCTCACGGGTCCCTTTTGTTTTCTCTGAGGAAAGCCCATTAGGTTTGCCCTCGCTCTGAGGATGATTATGGGATTGAGGGTTAAACAGGCAGACACACACACACATACACAAACACACTCACGGAGAACCAGCGGTGGGGGGGGGGGTCACCCTAACCTGGCCACGTTCCTCAGAGGGCGACTCCATGCTTCCCTCTCTGCTCGCGGTCAGGGGGGTGTTATTAGTGTCTAAATAAAGGCACAAGGTCCTTCAGGATTGCAGGAAGGCTGCCGGTACTGACCCGTTATCTGTGGTACCTGCTCACAGCCCCCCCCACCCTCAACCTCACCTTTAAAAATGGGTTAACAATTCCCAGGGCCCTGATGAACATCACACACGGCACACAGAGCATTCGGGGGGTGGGGGGCACATCCTGCCAGAAACCCCCCCCATCAGTCGCAGAAACCTCATTATGGTCAGTGCAGGCCTTCTGACTGGTGTGGGAGAACACTCTGCTTCACCATATGCACTGCCCCCCCTGCGGCACTCTTGTAATTGTGACTTGATAGTGACACTGTGAGTCCGGATGTCACCTGTTATATGACATTTGTGACCAAACACGCTCCAAAAGCACTGCAGCTATCTTTCTGGAAGGTTCCTCCATGATTAAAATGGGTCCTGAAGCTGAAGTGCTCTCTGATGTGACCTCAGGGCACCAACAGAGATCAAGGCGACAGGGTGAGAGCGTACCTACAGCACGCTGAACGTGTTTGCTAAAGCGCACTCTGCATTTGTGTGTTTTGGCTGGGGGAGCGGGGGGGTGAGGTGTTGTCTCCGTCATTTGGAAGTCAATCTGGTCTTTTCCAGCCGACAGCCTCAGAGACACGGGAAAATATGTGTCCAGCAGAGCAAAAGGAGCCGCTGTGGACACCACCCCAGCTCAGCGTGACTTCAGCTCATCAGCCAATGGGAGGCAGGACTGGCAGGGGAGAAGACCGAGGGCAGCCATCCACCCATCGCTTATCCCCTTTATGGCTGGGGAGGGGGCAACGGGGCACCAGGATATGAGCTGGTATGTTGTAACTTAACACCCAGAATGACTTTGAATAAGGTGACTTTGTTACCGACCTGGTGCCAAAAACAAATGTTACAAGCGCAGGCCGTGCAGATAAGCTTTTGTCCGTAAATACTGATTAGAGTGTGAGAGTGTTTTCCCAGACTCAAGGCGTAACACTCTCACTGCTCCAGTGCAATCTTCCTTTCAGGGGGAACAATTTCAGTCCGAGATGGTGAGCAGCTAAGGCAGTGACCTTATCTGTTCTTGCCACATCACACGATGGCGGTGTACCTCACCTAAGCGCAGACTGCAGAGACGTCTCAGGAGTCTCCGAGAGGAACTGCTCAGGGGAAGCTACTCACATCTTACAGACCTCGTCGTCGCTTGTAAACCACTCAGCGCTGTGCACAGCGAGAATAAGATTATGACAACTCAGGGCTTGTTGGTTTTGCTCCTGGCAGGAAGTGAATATTACAGGGCAACATGTTCTGTGAAGAGGAAATGATTCAGAGCCTTCATGGTGTTAAGGCATGTGTTAAGGCTATAGGAGGAAACGGCAATGGAATAGACCATTTTTGATAAACCAAGTAAAAAAAAAAGGCATATAATGTGGATATTGACAGAATGAGCAAACTTCTGTTTAAAGATGCTGCCATCTAGTGGCAAATCCAACCCAATGCAGGTTCTGGTTAAAGCCAAAGAAACAGGAAACTATGGGAGAAACAGAGAGGGGAATCCATGTTTGTCATCCTCATGTATGCATTTTATTACTGTACAGAAGCACCTGTATCTGAATCCATTGCCTAAGATAACTGGGAACAAAAGCACCGAAAGTAAGCTCATCAAGTCAAATACGGAGCCTCAGAAATCAGCAGCCACTCCACTGGGAACATGACTGCATAGGAAATAGCACCTTAAGCCCCTGCTACTGGCCATCAAAGCCGCCCACTTCTCTGCAATTCCCTGAGAGGAACGTCCCCTAATTCCATGGATCCCCAAGCCCCACCCAAGCCCACCACCCATTTCATTACACCATCACACAATCTAATTAAACTAATCAACCAATTGACCTCAGTCTAAAAGCACTTAAGTGAAATCATATGGACTGTTGGGGAAATATCACAAACATGTGGAAAGGATGATACCCCGCAGGGGGCAGGGTTTGGTCACCACAGAGACACCTATCAGTATTTTTTACCCTCCACCCTCGCCAAGCACCTGAGAGATTAAAACACGATTGAAAAGCACTTCCCTTTACTCTGTAAGAACAGCTGATTGGTCGGTGATTAGTCATTGCTTTGTGGTAGGTACCCACCCCCCATCTGCTTTGCACTTTTATAAGGGGGGTACACCACAGGCATCGAGCTGTTGCAGACGGCGAATCCCCCCCACTCGTCCAGCTCGTAGGCCAGCACGTCGTTCAGGCCACCCCACGCATCTGCCTCGTGCTCCTCACAGTCCGTCAGCTGGAACGCCCGGTTGAAGCAGATCTCAATCTGGCCCAGGGCCTGCTCAATCTGCCCCTGCAGAACGACACCATGGTGATAAACATTGTAAAGATAGCGGCATGCAGACCACACATTGGAAGTTTCTGAAATGCCTGCATGTAGACCACACGTGGGACTTTCTGAGACCTAAGAACTTGTATGCACGGGGAAATGAGTCACGCGGTATGTCTCTTTACGGAAACAAAGGGTAACGCTTCAGTCTCAGCCACCATTTTGACCGGGCTGGGGAAACAAACTGAAACGCGGACTAAATACAGAGGACTAATGACAACAACCAGAAACAGCTGATCACACGGGGATTCCACACGGTGTTAACGAGGGGGCGTGGCACACGGAAGGAGCGGACGATTGGGGCGGGACAGGGGTAGTGTTAGGGTATATTCTTTATTGTTTTGGAAGCCATTAAGAACAAAATGCTCTTCTTATTTTATCTTGTTCATTTTGTGTTTAAATGTTTAAAAAAAAAAAAAAAACATTCAGGTGTAATTATTTTGGGGCCAGGAACCAATCATTATTTCTTATGGAGAAAATTCGATCAGAACTCTAACTTCTTAGGATTCGAACCAGAGTTCTGAACAGATTAACTTCGAGTTCTGAAGTACCACTGCATTTAAGTAGCCTATTGGTTGTATCAACATCTACTAAATAAAGGTAGGGATGCATTTAAAAATACGAGAAAATAAAATGTGAAAATTGTGCATACTTTAAATAAAGTGCTTAACTTTAGCCGTAAAACCCTAATACAGTTGTGTCTGGCATATGTTTTGGTGTTCATGGATTTAAGTATTGGTTTTCTATAATCCCACACCGGTAATAAAGTGAAAGTCTCGTTTTAATATAAATACATACAAACTTATCACTTTAATCACTGTTAGAGTAGGATATAGACGGTCTTATTATTTCGAAAAGATATAAAACGTGACGAGTTTCTCTCATATTCGTTTTATATTTGTTGGAGTAACAACGCAAACGGAATGACAGGCCGTTTCAGGTGAAAAAAAGTCCATTTTACTTTTTATTTCAAATAAAACGCAGGGTTGCCAACTTCGGTCAGCTGGCTGGAGTGAGATTTTCAGTTCGAGTTGTCTGCACGCACGTAACTGTTCTTACTGTACCTTGTAGTCTGCTTCTGTATTTAACAGTGTAAATACACTTTGGATGTAGCTAATTTTACGTTTATAATGATGCAATATAGATTTGCTGTAAGATTTCCTGCGTGAGTCTGAAAGTGTGAGTGTCATGCCAGATGCTTGAGGTTTGGCAACCCTGAAAACATACAATTTTTGTTTCACCTGAGTTGATTTATAAAACAAATAACATTACTTTATACATCTGTTAAAAAGCGGAAACTTCAACGAACATGAAATCATCAATAAACTACTAATTTTAGTATTTCTATTTTAATATGCAGAGAGGGCAGGCCTGGTGGCATTATAGCCTATGCACTTTGAAGTGATTTTATTTTTGCACTAATGGCACCACTGATTTTACAGTACTATTTCTGGGTAAATAAACATAAGTTTGTGTTTCAAATAGGAGTGAAATCTGTGTCTTTGTGTACTGCACAGTCAGACCTTAATACCATCCCTTAACATTGGTTTCATTTCATCTTGATGAACATAATGACTTTCTGACATCAAAGGGACACTTTAAACATTACACTTTACACTTCTAATTTTAGTCGACTAAATCAACTGTAGTTTTAGTCGACTGTAATCTTATGATATTTAGTCAACTAAAACTAGACTAAAGTTAAAATAATTTAGATGACTAAATTATGACTGAAACTAAATTACATTTTAGCCAAAAGACTATGGCTAAAACTAAATAAAAGTTTGATGTCAAAATTAACACTGCACACACGCACGCAGGCAGGCACACACGCACGCAGGCAGACACACACGCAGGCACACACGCAGGCAGACAAAGAACTCACATTAAGATGAGTGCACTGAATCTTTGGCTTTGCACTGTAGACACTGACGATCACCCCCTCGATCTTCTCCAGCTAAAGCAGGAAGAAAACAAAAAAGTATTCAGAGCAGGGGCCGAGGCCCAACAGAACCGGATTATGGATATGGGTCCGATGGGCATGTGGACATGCCACAACCACACCCCTAACCCTTCCTACGAAAGTCAAAGATGGAAAACTATTCCTTGAACTACCAAAAACTACCATGAAAGCAGAAGGGGGATAAAGCCATGACAGGAGGTCAGAGAGGAAGTCAGAGAGGAAGTCAGAGAGGAAGTCAGAGAGGAAGTGCAGGGCACAGTCAAGAGTGAGGTGAAGATCATGGTCAAGACCCTCTTGTCAAGCAACAACTCGAGAGACATTTTAATGCAAAGGCGTTTCCGGTGGTCCGCCATTGGTCAAGTAATGGTTCACTCACAGAGTAGGGATTCTCTCCCGGCACGATCCCGGCTCGTGTCAAAACCCTGAAAGTCAGATTAGTCCAAGTCGTTACTTAGCTTCTGCTGCGCCTCAGGATTATCAGAAACAAGCACTTGCCAAATCATTACAGAGCCTGTTTATGTTGGGGAAACAGCCGACATAACCCGACAGACATGGGCGGATTGCGGGGGATTTGCTGGGATGCGCGGGGACACCCACCCACTGAGGTCCATCTTGTGGTAGAGCTCCAGGGCTTTGCTGAAGTACTTGTGCTCGCTGTTCATGGCCTCCTCCTTGGCAGCACAGGTCCCATGTTTCATCCACTCGTGTTTCCTGAAAGTACAGAGCACATAGCATGCAATTTACTGGGGGGGGGGGTTTAATGTCCTCTATCCGTCACGGTGCTGGGAGCCCGCGCACACAGAGTCACATGGGTCCTGTTGTCACAAGCAGGGTCACCGCTGGAAAGCAAAATACACACAGAAGGAGTGAGTCAGCCTGCACCATTCCAACTCCCCTCCTAATCTGGGGTTTTGTAAGATTAATGCTAGGGGGGGGCAGCCTAATTGGATTTCTCACTGCCCGGTTATTCCGATGTGGCATCATAACCTTTCATGAAGGTGTGGGTGCAGGCCAGCGTTGCCCTCTCTGCTGTACCGCAAAGTGAGCACCGTTAACTTCCCAAATCGGCGTCACAGAACATACCAGAAGGAGGCAGAGGGGCCGGAACTCAGAAGGTCAGGCCACCATTTCCTCATCTCTGGCAACAAATCCTGACAAAAAGCCAGGAAAATAATGCTGATTATTTAATTAATATGTGGCTGACAATAATATACAAGTTTCTTTGTGGAAATATGGTCTCAAGTTTCTGCTTTAAGGAAAGGCACCCTTGAGATGCAAAGTGGGTTACCATGGATACAACAATGAGTACTCGCCATTTTATTTAAAGGGGAGCGGTACCTGTATTTGACTTGCATTGAAGTGCCAAGATGAATTACACAGGTTTCCTTTATTTGTCCTGAAAAAAAGACACCAACATTAAATCATAAGAGCAGAAGTAGTTTCACATAACAGACTGATATTGTTGCTATCAGAACTCTAAGATTCCATATGTGAAAAACATTTGCTTGAGTACTGCAATGGAAAGAAGCAGCCTCATCACAAGGTAATCTGCAGTACAATCCCAGATACAAGCAATAATCGCGGACACAGCGGCACTCGCGGACACACCAAAGTCCGTGAATGGTCCAGTAGGTCAAGTTGGTTTCACAAGACTCCATCTGAGAAAAATGAGATGACCACATGGTCACACATCCAACCCACAGCCCACCAGGCATGAGCAAAACCTACTGGACCTAATTATGAATTCTACGGATCAGACTGCAAAGTCAGTCATTGCCAATGCATCGTTAATGTCTACTCATCTGAATATTCTGTACTCTAGTAACTACTCATGATTTAGTTTATGCAGTCCTTTGGAGTAACAAGTCATTAGACATTGGACAATTTCTGAGATGGGTTTAAGTTTTGCTCAATTTGTGTTGAACTGCTGGAAACGACAAATCACTTTACTTACAGCACAAAATGTCTGAGGCCACTGGTGAGTCAGAATCAACTTGTCCCATTCATGTCTGTATGTATACAAAAACAGTAAGGCCAACAACCGCGATTAAACACCCTGCAACAAAATGTCTGCATTTAACATAAGAGCAAATGACAGACATAACCGTTAAAACAGTTCTTAAAAAGCACTTATGTTGAGAAACATGTTGTCACTTACGCCTCGATCTTGTACGAAGAAACGAGCAGACCGAGGCTTAAGCAAAGCACGGCGGTGATACACGAGTAGCCCATCATCAAAGTGAAAGGGGAACCTGTGTGTGAGACAGGGGAAAAGGCTGACCCTAGGTAATATTTACTGCCACATGACCGGCAGAACACGCGCATTATGTTCATGATACTTAATTAGTTCAGACAGCGTCCATGAAGCTATAGAGCATGCGATCACCATCAACTGACATGATTGCGTCCGGAGATCACTCTAGTAAAGCTATATCACCGACCACCGTATATCATACGGCCAAGCTTAAAAACTGTAGTTTGCTTGGCGCAACATTAACCAGCGAGTGATCGGCATGTTGTTTTCGCTTGATCTTAGAAACTGAGTATAATGGGATCTTTTTGGGAAGTTTACGGGCGGATGAAATTGCATAACCTATACACGAAGTTGCAAGCAGAATAAGCGTACACAGTGCTACAGTAACACAATAATTAAAAACATTTAAATCATTTCAATTTCAATTTCAGGACTGTCAAGAACTGTTGTTGAAGAGCAGGTCCTTTAAAAGGTAAGGACTCTTGCTCTTCATTAAACTCGTATGGCTTCACAATTGACATTTTGTCCCAAGGAACATACACGGTGCCCTCGGAGTTACCTCGATTTATCTCACTTTTTCTTCACTCGGTGACAGCCTCCGGAGAGACGCCTTCACTGCCGGAACGCTCGCGCAAATAGAGCATTACGGCACAAACTCCCACCTACCTCCCAGTTCTCCCTAAGAGACCGCGTCAATGCGCAAGCGCACACCGAGTCACGTGTTTGCTCGCTCCCGATGCGGCTCTGTGTGCGAGCTGCGCGTGACCACCTATAGCAATGTAAAAAAAATGCTTTTTGATGTCAACGAGTGCGGCGCAGAATGAACGACCTGGAGTTAGTTAAATATGAGAACATTATGGCCGGGGATAACACGAGAATGTAGTGTATTAGAGTGCAGTGCCAGTGGCTTGTCCTTGAACTTATTTTTTTTCTTTATTCACATAAGAAATGAGTATGCATTGTATCACCACCGCAAGGCAGCGTTATCAGGTTTTGACTGTACAGATTTGTTATTGGGCATTGAGCTTTGATAAAAAGAAATTAAATAAATAAATAGAAATGCATAAACTTACTTTATTCAGTGTTTCTTATTTAGCATTAATCAAAATGCTACACACGTAGTCTGTACTGGCATTTACAATGATGCATTTCAGGACACAAAAGCACAGTCAAGAGAGATTTCTGTTGAAATTCAATTTAGTTTATTTTTACATAGCATCTTTCACAAAAGAGTTCCCCCAAAGTGCTTTACTTTGGTATGTTGTGACACATTGCAACATCATTAAGACTGAGTAATTCAAAAACAGGGAAAAGGGGAAGAGAAAGAAAGATGACAGCAGAGTATGCTTCCCCCCCCCCCCCCCCGGCATACTAACATTATTGAAATAGAAAGAGTGGGCTTGCTTATTAAAAGCAAGGTGTAAACTGTGCTCAAGGTCAAAGCCAAAGTCCATCAATAAGTCAGTTCTCCACTTTGAAAATCTCAAGTCAAATCAGAAGTTTACTGTTTGTTATCAATCACATAGCATCTATCTTGAAGCTCTTCAGCAGTCAGTGGTACCTGTCATCCATGAATGCGCATACAGGATCAGATTCCTTTGTGCTGATTGGATAGGGGCACTCTCCAAAGCACAGGGCCACACCTGTCAGCTCTGGCCTGTGAGTCTACTGTAAGTTTTGAGAAGATCAGCTTCCAGACTCTTTCTAAAGACTTAAGATGATGTTAAAAATAGCGGCTGGCAAATATTCAGCTTTGGGGGGAAGGGGGTTGGGGTTGATGCCTTACGAAACTTAACAGCATTGGGGGATGCTGAGTTGTGAAGTACCAAGGAACCAAGAACATTCTTTTAGAAGCTTTCTAAGATGACATTCCTTCCAGTAAAGTGTGCCAGTTACATTGCCTGCACCTTTGTGGCAGTTATCATTGATCCGGTTAAAGGTCTGCTGCCCCAGTAATCTTCATGTGAGTGGTCCGAGTCGTGCTCTTCTTAGCCAGTGTTCTGCTTTTCTTTCACCTTGTATCTTCCAACGCCTTCCACAACTTCCTCAAACGCTCTGTTCCAAGGCTCCACAAAGCGGGGATGGATGCTGAGATAGAGCTAGAAAACACTAATTGTTCAGTTTTATGGTTGGGGAAAGTCAGTGTCTCCTGGTCCTTTGAAGATCGTTTTGCTGAAAGGTAGAACTGAAGCAGAAACTTGAGGTAAATGCTATATATAGTCTGATGTCTTTCCATAAATGGGTGGTCAGTGAGCTGGCATTCTGTATGGGTAATATTTTTATATTCATCAGCAGATCCTCCTTGGTGTGGCTAAGCTGGTCTTTCTCTGCTTCGTGCTTGTTTATTCTCCTGGGGTAAGTCTTTATTAGCTGTTTCTTCTCTAGTAGGTTAATGATACCCCGTCTAAAAAAGCAGGACCATTTTTGAGAAATGCCATGTGGGACCGGCGGTGCGCTGGTAATAGGAATGATTGGACAGGCGATGCCATTAATGATTACAGTGGTCTTTGCCTGTTGCACTATGTTGAGCTGAGTTCTGCAAAACAGTTTGTTGCATTGCCTTTTGAAGGAAATGAAGGATTGTAGTGGGGAAAACAGATTCAATAACGTGTTTTAAAAGGCATAGTTTTATTATATTTAATTGTATATTTAAAAAATAAAAAATATTATGGCATTAAAACAAATGTGTAGGTCTCGGGTATTTAGTTAGATTCTTATTGAATTAAGATAGTGACAGGTGTAAAATGTTTACAATCTGCTGTTTCCTATGTATTCTGTATATTCAGTGTTATTTCTAATAATAATGAGTTAAAATGTTTACTTATACATTGTTGTCTTAATTTGTTTTATTTATTGCAAAACATTTAATGTAATAATTCTTTGAGGAAATTAGTTATTGCGTAAAATGACTTGCTGACCAATCTTTGCTATTTAGGCGACTTAAAAAACTTTAAAAAAAGGAAAATCAAAACATAGGATCTTTTATATTTTACTGTGTGTCTGTCTTACCTGTTAAAAATACATCAGAATTATGTTGCTCTTAGAAGATTCTGCAAACTACGCAAAAACCATGAAGCAGACTTGCTCTTTATTGCAGAAGAAATGCAAGTGAAAATGTTATCAAACCAGTTAAAAACTGGAAATGGTCTAAAACTTAAATTGTTTTAATGCAACTCACTGACCTTTAGGCATTGCAAAGTTGTTATAAACAATTGTCAATAAATTTGATTTAAATAACCATGGGCGACACCTAGTGGTTGGAGGGCTGAATGATGATTTAAAAAAAAAATGTTTTAACATTATATTCTCGGTCTCTTGGTTACGTGGGCTGCTGCTCTTTGGTGTAGGAGATAAGTCATAAAATCTCACCATCGTTGACTTTGAGAATAAGATCTCCTGTATGCTATTATTTCCTTGAAACCAAACTGCTTAAATTAATAGCCCATTTACTAATATATATATATATATATATATATTTTTTTTTTTTTCCCCACAGGTTCTGAAATCAGTCATGGCGTCTAAGGTCTTGCCATTTTACCAGCGGAAGCACAAGCATTTTGGACAAGATTATCGGATCTCTCAGTCTAAATATGTAGTCCAGGAATACTCCACTTCTTCAGCCAGGTAATAATTGCAACTGTGCAACATTCTGCCATCATTTGTTAGAAAATATATACTTTAGTTATATAGCACAGAACCACTATTATTTGTGACTAAACCACTAAATCAACTATTTTGTTTAGAAGAATGGGTTATTTTACCAACAGATTAACTAAAGTTGTAACCAGACATCATACAACGAGATTTTTTTCCAAACTTGCTATAACACTAGAGAAATTTCCCTATTAAAAGAAAATTAATAAAGAGATAAATGAAATAGACCTTGTGTCTGTTCGGGATCTGCAACCCAGAGTAGGATAAGGGATTACAGAAAATGAACAGATGGATGGAAGGATGGATGGATGAAATACTACATATGTGCAGTTTATTAAAACATTAATACATGAATAAACTCAGCCAGAATTAATATGAATCATTCAGCTCTTACCGGGGATCCTTTTAGTTGTATATTTCCCAAAGCAAGAAATAATGCTCTGAAATGAACTAATAATATTCAGGGTTATTTTCAGAAGTAAATTGTAAAATCCCAGTTTAAGGACATTTTACTTGAAAAAAGTGGGGCAGGAGACAGGCAATCGATGTAGCCGTTCAATAAAAATCTGCGGCAGAAATAATTATTCAAGCCAAATTTTCAGATGTGACTGGATGTCATATTTCTTGTTGCGCATTATTGAAGCAGCATTTCCACTGTCTGTCACAGCGACCTGCTGTTTATGATGATTAATGTGGGGTGACGCACCGGTGAAGGATACACTCGGTTGGCTCATGGTTAACAACATTTATCACCAGGCTATTCATTAAATTGGGTGTAAAAAATGACAGTGGATGTGGGAAATGAGGTTTTATATAAGGGATGCAACCAGTAGCCTTACGATTAATCCTGCAGCTTCTGATAAGAAGGAGGAAGAAATTCATGGTGGGAAACCCAACAGCCATCCTCACTTTTGTAATGTGTAGTTAGATCATTAAAATCAGACAGACATATGTTACGGTTAGATAATCTCAGGCGTGAGTTCCTGTAGGGTCTAAGGAAATGCCAACAGGCTCATAATTTCAGTTTACTCCTTAATTAATTTTGCTCCTTCAAATCATCGATATATATTGAGTGGTACCAAACATGATTAAGTCCATACAACAAACTCCATATGTGAGGAATATATGCGTTCTTCTGCAAATGTGTTTGCATTAAACCTAAGCATGCCTCTCCCATAGTAGTTTATCAAGGCAGTCTGGGGCACATCCCAGAACTATCACCTTGTGTTTAAAATGTGTGGCAGGTGGGTCCTGTTCTCACATTTCCTGCATTTTCTGCAGGGCAGGACAGGTGCTAGATGAGAAGGAAGTGTCTGACTACAAGTACCAGGTGGACAGGAGGGTCCATCAAGTGGTAGGAACCCAGCTCGCATGAATGAGTATGAGAGGAAGATGACTGCCGATCGTGTGCTGCTTCACCAGTGAAGTGCGCTGCATGCTGAGCTGCGATGACGTAACGTGTATTATTAACCTGGAATGGGAAGCCATTCTACAGTACTTCTCATTATTTTGTCTCATCACCACTGTGTCCTGGAGGACTTTGCTACCCACCATTCATTGTCTGTGGTCCTGTGACTCCCAGCAATTGGCCTCACTGTTGCCCCTGCAGGTGGAGAAGAAGATGTCGTCTACAGTGAAGTACATCCGCGAGGAGTCGATGATCCGTGGTCCCAAGTTTGAGGCAAGGCTGCGGTCCCACACCGTCTGGGAGAACACGCCGGTCAGGCTGTACTGCATGGTGATTGGGTACCCCACGCCCAGTCTGAGATGGTAACGTATACACTGTGTATATACGTTTATGTATACTTAGTGCCATGATGTTTGCTGTCTCCATATGGGTGAAAGCATTTCCACCCCGTGTAGATCTGTAGGTAATGTGGTGGCTAACGATGTGGGCTCTCTTCCTGGGGCTCCCTGGCCCCGTCCATGGGTGGGGCCATCAGGCGGTGGCTTTATGAGGTTAATGAGGGTTGGTGCCCAGAAATCCGCCGTCACGTTTGTAATTCATAGACCATTTTGGAGTTGAGCATTTGAGTCATGGTCACTGTCATCACTA